AAAGGTTGGGGTTACCACAGACATGTCCTGTTAGAAATGGTGAATCCGTGGTAACCCATCACCACACACATCTGCAGAAATGTTGTAGATCTGTTATCAAAGATTCTCATTTAAGAGCACTTAGGATGGAAATGTTGTAACTATGCCAAAACAGGAAAAGGCCAAAGAAAGGAGCTCCTTGACTTCTAAGTTTGCATGTTGATCATGGTGACTCTCTTCTTGTCTTCCTTTTGTGTGGTAAACATTTTTCCCCATTAAAACTGGGAGAGGGAAGAGTGAATTCTTTCTGGGGGCTGAGAGAATAAATGAAGAAACTTTAAATAGTGTCCCACTTCCAGAAAGTTGAAACTATGAAACAGTGAACTCCCTGTGTCTAATCTGTCTAATTTGGTTACCCTGTGGCTGCGTTGTAGTTCTGGCAGAGCCAAGAGGATCTAACAGTTCTCTTTTTTCCATTCAGATCCATGCTTACAACCTTGAAACCAACACCTGGGAGGAAATTGCCACAAAACCTCATGAAAAAGTTGGTGAGTCTGCAATTTCACATCATCTCCTGTACGCCAGAGAGTGGCTGGGGTGTGTGAAGGTGCTGTTAGCTGGCCATCTGGAAGCCTTTCTTGTAACCTTGTGGAGACTTGCACTGGCTTCAGGACCCTGCTCCTTTATAGCTTCAGCAGTGAGAACTAACCCAGCTGAAGTATAGCTGGCACTCTGGCTTCTCTCCCTCCTGGATAAGGTGAGGTGATAGGGGCTGGCTCTCACTGCAGGAGGAGGTGCAAATCTCAGCTCCCTCTGAGGGAGCAGGCGCTGTTCTGTTTAGCAGAGAGACTTCCCCTGAATAGCCAGAGGTGAGAGTTGGAGTTTGTGAGGTGTGAGATTTTGGCACATCTCATCCTTCCCTGGAGTGCAAAGAGGGGCCAAACGTCCCAAAGCAGCTGCGTGTCATAGCTGTGACAGTGGGAAAGCAAAAGCACTTGTAAGTGAAGAAAAAAAGTGATTCTTGTCTGTGATTGTGTTGAGATACAGACACCACTTGTGCAAGCTCTTTAAAAGCAGCAATAGCTGAGATCTCTTCTTTGCTATGGGAGTGGTGAGGTGCTGGAACAGCTGCCCAGAGAGGCTGTGATGCCCCGTCCATGCCTGCAGGTGGTCAAGACCAGGTTGGATGGGGCCCTGGGCAGCCTGGGCTGCTGTGAAATGGGGAGGTTGGTGGCCCTGCCTGCAGGAAGAGGGTTGGAGCTTCATGATCCTTGAGGTCCCTTCCAACCCAAGCCATTCTGTGATTCTGTGATCTCTTTTCTCATGTCTAATTTTTTTTGTTTTTCCTCCTCAGGCTTCCCAGCAGCTAGAAGATGCCATAGCTGTGTTCAGATCAAAAATGGTAAAGTCCTCCTCTTGAACATTGGTATATCTTGCTACAGCCTAGCATTGGGAAGCCCATCTCTTCAGCCTGAGAGATGCTGGCCTCCAGAGCAATTGAGAGAACTGCAGGGCATGCGTGTCTTTTCTGAAGGAGGATTCCTTCTTTTAACCATCCTTAACCTGTCCAATTGGCACTGCTCTTCATATGAGGGAGCAAATTTATTCCTGCAGTAGACAGTACTGTCACTCTGGAATTGTGTAGTATTTTACACAACCTACAGATTCATGGGGCATTCCCTCAGTGGGGTTTGCACTTCTCCCATAGCTTTGTTGTCCTCTGAGAATGCTTTTTTCCAATCCTGATGATTATGCTGCTCATGATGGACTGAAGAAGCAGAGTTGATCCTCCTCAAAATTTCTCCTGAATGCTTCAGCGTGCTGAGCCATGGAAAAGAGTGATACAAGGAGTTATATTTCTCAGGAGGTGAAACAAGTGTTGATCCTGAAAGGGTTTTAGAAAGGTGATGCACAGCACCTTCTGCAGTTCCTGAAGGAAGGTAAGCATTGTGAGTTTCCTCTCTCTGCAGATGTGTTTGTTTGTGGAGGCTACAATGGAGAAGTGATTCTGGGAGATGTTTGGAAGCTGAATCTGCAGACTTTCCAGTGGGTCAAGCTCCCAGCTGCCATGCCTGAACCAGTGTATTTTCACTGTGCTGCTGTCACACCGGTGAGTGACTCATTTCTTTCCTCTGTAGCTGAAGTTGGAGCCATTTGTCCCAGTGTTTGTGTGGGCTGTAAATAGAGCTGAGCAGATGTTACCAAGGAGGTGACCTCAGCTGCACGCAGCATCCTGAGGGAGGCTGAGAGCTGCTCTAAGGTTACTGCATTGACTTTGTACGCCTGCAGCTGTTTGAAGAGCTGCAGCACACAGCGTGTTCTGCTTTCTGAAATCAGCAGTGGGGGATTTTAGCTTTTAAAGTGCCTTAGCTCTGGCTCCAGGAAGTAACTCAGTATGTGAACATCCGTTCCTGTTTGCAAAAGGAGAAAAAAGCCAAACACACGAGTACTCCCCCCAAAACTTCTCACCCTGAGCTTGGCCTACAAAGCACAGGTAGGGCTGAAAAAATAGCAAACATTTTAAAAGTATAGGAACACATGCAAACTTGTAAGCATGTTTACCAGGAAGGAGGTAGATGAGTGCAGGAATGCCCTTTATTTTCCACTCCCTTTGCACTTGTGTGGTTCCTGGAGCAGGGTTCTGTTGTGCTGCTGAGCCAGCAGAGGGAACGTAGCATGGCTTCTAGCTTTAAGAAAATATATTTGGCTAGAATGATAGAATAGCTTAGGTTGGAGGGGACCTTAAGGATCACTGAGTTCCAACCTCTCTGCTGTGGGCAAGGTTGCCAAGTACAGCTTTATAATAATCCACTCCCACTCCCAAAATTGATTCCTGGGGTTAGAATTCACCGAACAAAAGACACAGCAAAGCACTCTGAGCTCAGGCAGAAATCCTTAGGAGGAGAGAAAGGTGCCCTTCAGCAGCACGACCTCAGCTACAAGAGGGAGCCTGGCTCAGGCGGTGACACTTCTGCTCCAGGCACAGAGAGGTGGTCAAACCCTGGTGTTGTCCTTCAGCGCGTGCCCGTTTTTCCTGCCCCCATCTAACTCCTTTTCCCCCCCTTTCCTGCCTAGGCTGGCTGTATGTACGTTCACGGAGGAGTGGTCAACATCCATGAAAACAAACGGACTGGCTCGCTGTTTAAAATGTGGTTGGTGGTACCCAGCCTGCTGGAACTGTCGTGGGAGAAGCTCCTGGAGTATTTCCCTCACTTAGCAACCCTCTCCAGATCTCAGCTTTTGCACCTCGGACTGACGCAGGGACTCGTCGAGCGGCTAAAATGAGAACCCCTGCTTGTGCCCCAGTCACACTACGTCCAGCAGCCCCTCCTCCCTCCCCTATTTATGGATACTGTGGTTGGTCTTGCTAAGAACACAGAGGAACCTGCTCAACGCCTTACTCAGCAACTGCATCGATGCCTTTCTAGAAGTTTTTAATTTGTTGGAAATCCACTTTTTATTTATGGAGCTCTGAATGGGAACTAACCCATGCCATCTATCCGTTATCAGCATATGCTTGCAACTTAACTGGGGGGGAGGGAGGACAGTGCTTAATGAATGTCTGAGATCATGCTTACCTGTGGTGCATTTGACTTCGTACTTTCACAAGCTGCATCTAACAAAGGACAGCCAACATAGAAAAATGCCTGCTGGGGGTGATGCTCACGCCCCTGCTGCCCAGCCAAGCTCTCCCTCTCTAAAAACGGTGAGCTCTTGCAGCTGGAGGGCTTTAGTGTGTTATGTGGGCTTCAAAGTATGGCCACAACGCTGGAGGAAAGCAGTGAGCAAAGCTCCTGCTGCACAGCTGCTGTGGTGCAGTGATTTGAAGTAGCCATGGCTGTGCTCTTTGCCTTTTCACAGGGAAAGGTTTGCTTAAAGACTGCTTAAAAGCTGCCACTGAATGGACTACTGTGTAGTTTAGTGGAGGTGGTGAGAATGGAGTCTGCTGAACTCACCAACAGCTTGTGCCCTTGCTGTAAGGAGGGTGAAAATTAGGCACTTTTCAGCACTGAAATCCATATGCTGATTTCTCCCTTCCCTGCCCTCAAGAACATTTCCTTACCCTATTAAAACCCTCCTCTTTGACTCAGTGCTGCACAGTGAGCACAAGGTCACAAAGAATGTTCTGCTGCTTTTCCTAAAGATGCAACTTTTCCTAAAATACAATTATACAATTGAAGCACTGCCCTCACAAAGCATACATCTCCCTTCTGGGGACTGATGGAGCTTGTGGGGCAGTTAAGTCCCTCTCTGCAGCACCATACTTCCAAGCAAGATAACTACAGCATTACTGCCAGAGCACACCCACCTCCTTAAAGGAGAAGGAGAGGATCCAGTGTCTCCACCAGATATCATGGAGGGGAACTTAGAGCTTCCTGGTGTGTTTGAGGCCAGCGCACACAATGCATGCAGAGAGCATCACTCCCCATCCAGCTGCTCACACTGGAGGACGTCCCCATGGAGCAACACCTGCATGGGGCTGTGGGGAAGGAGCTGCATTGCCTGTATTTATGTGTCTGTCAGTGTTGAGCTTTGTTTGTTTTTTTTTGTTGTTTTTTTTTTTGTTCTTTTGTTTTTTTTTTTCCCTCCCCCCCTTTCAAAACGATAATAAACCCATCCAGATCACCTACTTTGTCCTTTCACTGCTGTTTTCTCCATTGGGAACAAACAGCTCCTCATTGGCATCAAGGTGCTGCCACCCTTTACCCCTAGATGGAACCAGCTCAGAGCTGGACATGGCTCTGACCCTATTTAAAAGCAGGGATGAGCCAGGACAGTCACACCAACATCAGGATGGCCCCAGACCTCTCTGACAATCTCAGGTTGCCCTTCCAACTCTTTGCCCTGCACGGTGATGGTGGATCTAATCTGAGTAACAGGTGATGGATGAGCATTGCCCTGTTCCACTACCAGGGTTCCATCCGTGCCCACTCACTGGCACCAGCCTTGATGGTCACCGTATCACCCCAAGACCATCACTAACCTCTGGAGGGGTCCAGGCAGATGACCAAATGGAGAAGGGAGATTCTTTCTGATTTGTACAAAACTGCTTTAATGGCAAAACAGCTGAAAAACAAAAAAGACATTCAGTGCAGCTCCAGTGCCATCACAAAGCCCTGCGAGATGGCCCAGGCCATAACCCCTTCCAGACCCAGGAGAAACCAGGATCCCCAAGGCCTGGCAGGATGAGGGCTCTTCTCAAGCACCATCTCTCAGTGCAAGAATCCCAGGGAGGGTCCATCCTTGAGACTACACCAACGTCCTTCAAGACTCTCCCACTGAGGATATTTTCCTTCCAGCCACAGACGTGAGCCAGAAATTCTTCTGTGAAGCGTTGGGGCACAAAGGTTCCATCTGAGTGCAAGAGTGCTTCTGTTGCTGCTTTCCAGCTCAGATCCAGCCCAGCCAAATCCCTGAGATGCTGGATCACGGCACACACCAAACCCAACAATGGGCTTGAAGGAACCCAACCAAGTCCCAAACTCAGCAGCCACTGGGTGACGGGGCAAAGAAGTACACAGCCAGGAGGATGAAGTAGACCATCACCAGCACTGTGCCTATAGGGCAGAGAGCAAGTAAGAGGGAGTTACGTCCTGCAGCAGGAAGGGTGGTCACATTTAGGATCCTTGGGTAGGACACTACTGTTTCTTAGGACCTCTGGGTTCATGTCATAGGGAAATTGTGTGCAGTCTTGGTCAAGTCAAAGCCTAGAGTTGCTCAAACCACCCTGAACATGGAGCAGCACTAAGTGGTGACTCCAAAGTCATCTCTAGAAGCTCCTCAGTCCTGTTACTACAGGGACAATGGAAACACCAGGACCCACACTGACCTTGGAAATAGTCACATTTGCCATCCATGAAGATGTAGTTCATGAGCACCACGCTGAACATGCTGGCATAAACATGGAGGTCGCTGAAGACAAGTGTGAAGTTCGTTGGCTGCAAAATAGAGAGCGTTGTGCCTTTGTGGCCAGCCAAGACAGTCCTTTGCCAACCCCAAATGGAGACTTGGGTACACCCAAATCCATGCCATAAATCCCTTGGGCAGGGAATGGCACAGGTTGGGGTAGGAGGCATCTGAATCCACTTCCCTTTGCACTGAGCAGATGGGAGAGGACATGGAGGACAGTGGTTGTGCCCTCAGCACGTGGTGTTGTGTGACCTTCCCAGAGGGGTTGGAGTCACTAGGCCTGTCCTGAGACTACTCACATAGAAGATAGTGAAGAGCACCAGAATGGGAATCTGGAGCATGCAGACCTGGACAGCGATGCAGTTTCCGATCTCGATGCTAGGAAAACAGAGGGGTTTGTTAAGCACTGTATCTCCAACAGCCCACGGGAACTCTGTTGGGTTTAAGACAAACCCACCTCAGGGAGCCAAGTTACAGAGCAGAACCTGGCTCTGAGCCTTTTATGTGCCTTTAAACCTTCTCTTAAGAGAGAATATGCTTAAGGCAGCCCATGACTGACACCTCCACAGAGCTACAGGGCTAAGATGGAGCACAGGGACCACACTGGAGGAGGACACCCCAAAAATCCACCCACTCACCTCAAACTCAGGTTATTCTGTAGGGCAAACTGGATGCCATTGACAATCTCCGGTAGCTCAGGCACCATTGCCAGCACAGTGACACCAATGAAATACTGCAGGGAAATGGAGGTGTCAAAGCATGTCTTGATCCCGACAGCTTCCCAGTGCTAGGAACATCTTCCCCATTCCAAGCTTTTGGGGTTCACTACGTAATGAAAGCACGTCCCCATCCCCTAACTGGGAGATACCCAACCCAGAGCCCCAACTGGAGGGCAGATGAGAAGGAGGCCCAACCTCCAGGTCCCCATCCATCCCCCAGTCAAAGGAACACAATTCCTATCTATTCCCAGTGGAGGAATCCAACTAGATCTCCATCCCCACCTTAGCTAGAAGGGGCTCAACCCTCAGATCCTACCAACCCCCAGTGAGGGAGGTCCCCCTTTAACCTGAAGGGGTCCAACCATTCCCAGAGAGAACCCAACCTTAAGGTTTGTAACTCCCTGGTGAAGGGCCTCAACCTCCATGTCCTCCATTCAGACCCTGGTGAGGTGACCCAACCCAGAGGTCCTCCACCCATCCTCTGGTTGGAGGGACCCAATCTGGAGGGCTCTCATCCCTCATGAAGGGGGCCCAACCCAGAGGACTCCAAAAAAATCACCCAAAACGCATCCCCACACTCACCTGTGAGATGGTAGAGTTGGTGAGAATGGGGCTGATATGCTCCGTTGCCAGGTCAGCACAGGCTGACATACAGAGAGTGGAGAGCAAGAGAATGACCAGTGCCCGCCAGCGGGACCAGTGGACCACAGCACTGTGGTGGTGGCCAGGCACTGGGGAAGAGCAGACACAAGGATTAGGCACATGGACAAAACAGGCCCCAAAGATGGGTATCCTGTGGTCTGGGGACACTCACTGTGACAGTCACTGATGTGGATGTCGTAGATGTGAGAGTGAGTTTTCAGGGTGAAGAAGAGGCCAATGAGGTACGCAGCAGGCAGCAGGAGGGACACTGTGTACACCAGGGGTCTGCAGGACAAGATGCTTGGCGTCACCAGGGCCTCCAAACCAAGACCCTGATGGCACCTCTGTGCTGGCTGGGGATGGGATGTAGGATCAGAACCCTTTGGGGTGGCACAGAGGGACACCAGCCTTGGAGGGGACATAGGGCAAAATGCAAACCCCAAGAGCTCCAAAGACCCCACACCAACCCCAGCAGCCATCCCCAGTCCTACTCACTGGACATGGCTGTAGTAAAGAGTGCCGTTGTTCTCCATCTGCAGAGAGAGAATATCAGTTATGACCCAGGGATGCAGGACAATCCCACTGCCACCATGATGGCCAGATAGGCTCAGGGTGTCCTCAGCTCTACTCACCAGATCAAAGTGGCAGTTGTGACAGAGGTAGTGGCCCAGTGGGTTCTGGGTGACATTGTGGCACTCGCCACACACCAGTTTCCCATACACCTTGGAGAAGAGCGTTGGGGCAAAGACACCTATGGAGACAGAGGGATAGGAGGTGGGTGCCATCAAGGTAGAACCCCACTGAGCCTTGGGGACACTTCTGTCCCCACCTCACCTCCAACAGAGAGGAAAAGCAGGGCTGAGCTGACACCTGCTGACCGGCTGTTGAAGCGCTGCTCCTGATGTCGGATGCCCCCTATTACCATGCACAAACCCTTCGGGAGAGGGGAAAAAAAAATACCCCAGAAAAAATGAAATCCATCAGCACTTTGCTCACCCAACCATAGAGACCAGAGGCTCTTCACACATCAGCCCAGCTCACCGGGACAAAAAGGACACATCCCACCAGTGTCCCCGTCAGCGCTGACTTGACGATCTCAGCATAGCAGCTGTTGCCCTCACGCGATCCTTTGATGAGTGCCGTGATGTAGAAGGTGAGCTCCGTGATGGAGCCAAATGTGGCGTTCACCACTGCACCCACTGCAAAGTTGCTCTGGGCTGAGATACTGGGAGAGGAAAAGGAGGATGTCAGAGGGGTCAGCGTGTGTCCCTACTGCCACCCCTCAGCCCCACATCCCCGCTGACCTGGCGATGGCCATCCCAATGTAGTAGGAGAGGGGCATGATGGAGAGCAGCGCCAACGTGAACTTGACCGGAGAGCTCGTCAACTGGTTGTGGCTGTCCACATAGCCCAGCACCAGTGTCACCAGCACCAGTGGCAGCAGGTCTGGGATAGATAGTCAAGGACATGGCCCTATTGGGGTGGGATTTGGGGTCAGGGGGCCCCCCCCCCCCCCAACATCCTCCCTCTACCTCCAAAATAGAGAAAGGATACTGACGGCAAAAACATTGATGCCATCCACCGCATATTTGTAGTAGTAGGGGTTGACAGCACGGTAGCAGCACAGGATGACCTCCCCATCCAGCGGCACCTCCGTCTGCAGAAGGACAGTTTAGTGACCCCCAAACCCCACCTTGGATAGGGCACCCCCAGCCCCACGTAGGGCAGCACTCACCATCCTCAGACGACGGATGCACACCCGCTCTGGGGGCAGCAGAAGGACACGGACAGCTGTGCGGGCGCTCAGCTTGGCCACAGGGATGAGGAAGACAAGGAGCCATGCAGAAACACACACTAACCCATGGGCTAGTGCCAACAGTGGGTAGCCCAGGCACAGCCACACCACAGTGCCAGCGCGCTGCTAAAATAACAGGATGGCATTTAGGGTTTTGCCACAAAATATACAACCCCACTGCAATTGAGGCACCCATAGGTTCTATCCCCACAGCAATAGGGGTTCCAGCTGTCCCCAAGCTCAGAAACTCACCCAATATCCTTCGTCCACCCAACACCGTGGGTTCCAGCGATGGGGCGCAGGGCCACCAAGCAGTGCTGAGCTCTCTGTGTCAGCCTCACACACACCCCGCGCCTGTCGGGATTTGGGGGTCTGGAGGAGATTGGGATGATCAAGGTCCAGTTTGGGGCACATTTGTCACCTCTCCCCCACCCCCCATCAGATTTGGGAAGCACTGTTACCTCTGCTTTCTGAATCACTTTCCCAAAGGGCCAAAGGAAATAGCCAGCAAGATCCCAGCAGAGTCGCCCTGTAGGGACACAAGGTTCAGCCCCATTGGG